TTATTTCTCCCCTCTTCTTTTCTTTTATTTTTATTTCATTATATATAAATAAATAAATAAATAAATAAATATAAATATATATATATATATATATATATATATATATATATTACATAGTACACTTAAAACTTGATGCAATGCTCAATAAGTGTAAATTGTGTGTAATGATATTCATAAAGGGTATCCAAATGAGGGATAAGGCTAATATAATGATAATGAGGAGTGAAGTCTTTTATTTAGGCTTAACACTAGCTAAACTAAAACTATAATGTAATCTCTAAAAAAGGATTTCAGCTAATAGAACAGAATTTGGATTTGATGAAATCAAGAAATTAACAGCAAGATTCAAGAATATAACAAGAGACAGACAGCCCATTGACTTGGAGTTGTCGTTAAAAGTTTAACATACTGGAAGAAAAGCATTGAAAGTTGATACCTTAAGACCACCAGGTTTATCCCCAAAGCTGTTAATCTGGCCTCTTCTAGAGTTCAAATCACCAATGACATCACCCAAATGCTCTTCAGGTGTGACAACTTCAACTTTCATAATAGGTTCCAACATTCTTGGAGCAGCTTTTCTAATTCCTTCTCGGAACGCACCTCTCGCAGCCAACTGAAATGCCAAGACACTCGAATCAACATCGTGATAGGTTCCATCAACTAACACAGCCCGAACATCAACAACAGGGTAGCCTGCAAGAACACCATTGCTCATACACTCTTCCAAACCTTTCATCACTCCAGGAATGTATTCCTTTGGAACTGCTCCACCCTTTATCTCACTTTTTAATTCATAACCACTCCCAGGTTCTAAAGGCTCGAACCTCACTATGATATCAGCGAACTGACCTTGGCCTCCAGACTGTTTATTGTGTATATATTGCACTTCTTAAACAATTGAGATGCTTTCCCGATAATTCACCTGAGGTGCACCTACATTTGCCTTAAACTGTTCACAAATTAAAATCCAATAGTAACCAAATAAGAACAGAAAATATCTGAAAGGCAACATGAGTGGGATTTGCAAAACTTTCTAATGGTAAAGAAAGCAACATGTTAGTTAAACAAGCATAAGAAATATTACACGCAGAGGCAGGAATTAGAAAATTTTTTCAGGCTTTAAGATACACAAGGATTTGGGCTGAATAACATCCCTAACCAAGAGAATCAGATAGATTTTGTATCGTATTCCATCTATGAACAATGTTTCAAGTAAAAAGAGAAATTAACAATGTCTTTCCGATTAAAAGAAAATATAGACTTACAAGTTCGTATCTGCTTATTGTTTTAATTAGATTTACTACCCAAACTGTTGCATAAAAATGTTTATGGTTGTTCATTTCACTGTTCTTCGAATCTTTGTTTTGTCTTGATTGTAGAACTAACTAAATGCCTGTGTTAATATCAAGTTGCAGCTTGTTTGACTATAAGAATTTCAATACTATTTATAATAATGACCTATGAATCAATATTATCCTGAATATTTTCAGCATAATTATCTAGCTGATTCTAGATAGTGAGAATCTAGATTGATTTTAAGATGTCAAAGAACCAAACAATCAACATCAGTAGATAACACAACAGGACACCACCATGTCAAGAGCCAAACAGTCCCTACTGAAAACCATTCATCCTTCTTAAAAGAGGATAAAAGGCAAGTAAAAGTAATTAATATGAATTTTGAAGGCAATTGAGAGTGAGAACTTATAAAGGCGTTAAGTCCATGGTAGCAAATACTGGATCATAACAGATAAAAGTGCAATTTAGGAACCTTGAATTCCCTCTTCAGCCGATCAACAATGATCTCAAGATGAAGCTCTCCCATTCCTTCAATAACAGTTTGGTTGGTCTCCTCATCTCTGGAGAAATGAAAAGATGGGTCTTCTTGAGCAAGCTTAATAAGCCCAACTGCCATCTTATCAAGATCAACCTTTGTCTTGGGTTCAATTGCAACCTTAATGACAGGGTCCGGGAAATCCATCCGTTCAAGCACAATAGGTTTATCCAGACTACAAAGTGTTTCACCTGTGACAGTATCTTTTAGGCCAGCAAGAGCAATAATATCGCCTGTCAATGCTGATTTGACATCCTCTCTACTATTGGCATGCATCTCTAAGAGCCTTCCTATTCTCTCTTTCTTTCCTTTGTTCGAATTAAGAACATATGAACCTGCAGACAATTTCCCCGAGTATACTCTAACAAATGTGAGAGATCCGACAAAAGGATCGCTCATGATCTTGAAGGCCAATCCAGCAAATGGCTCATCATCGCTAGGAACCCTTTCAAGGACCTTCTCTGGGTCATCTGGATCAGAACCCTTCATTGGTGGTATGTCAATTGGTGAAGGCAAGTAATCAACCACAGCATCAAGCAATGGTTGAACTCCCTTGTTTTTGAATGCAGAACCACATAAGACAGGAACAAAAGCACCTGAAATGGCTCCTTTCCTAATTAAACTTTTTATAGTCTCTTCATCTGGTTCAATTCCTTCCAGATAGTTTTCCATGGCCTTATCATCTAATTCAACAATAGTCTCAATCAGTTGAATCCTGTAATTCTCAGCCAATTCCTGGAGATCTTCTGGTATATCTTCATAAGAAAATTTAGCACCTAACTCTTCTCCAGTCCATATAGCAGATTTCATTTTTACAACATCAACAACTCCACTGAAGCTATCTTCCGCACCAACTGGTAATTGCAGAACAAGTGGTTTAGCACCTAAGTTTGTTACTATCATATCACAAGTTCTAAAAAAATTAGCCCCAAGGCGATCCATTTTATTAATAAAACATAGTCGAGGGACTCCATATTTATCTGCTTGTCTCCATACTGTTTCAGATTGTGGTTCCACACCTGCGACACTGTCAAATAAACATATTGCTCCATCTAAGACCCTAAGAGCACGCTCTACTTCCAATGTGAAATCAACATGACCAGGTGTATCAATAATATTAATTCTGTGATTGTTCCAAAAGGTTGTCGTCGCTGCAGAAGTAATAGTGATACCTCTCTCTTGTTCCTGTTCCATCCAGTCCATTGTGGCTGTTCCCTCGTGAACCTCCCCAATCTTATAATTTCTTCCAGTATAATATAGAATGCGTTCTGTGGTAGTAGTTTTCCCCGCATCTATGTGAGCCATAATACCAATATTTCTGTAGTCCTTCAGAGGCACAATTCGCTTTGAATCTATCAATAAGTAGAGTAGAAGAAAGTGTCATCATTTAAATGGACAAAAAAGACATAATTGCTTTAAAATAAACATTCACGTAAGGTCTATTTCACTAAACTTATATAATTCATGAAAGTGTAACTACTAGATTCTACAATGTACTAAGTAAAACAAGAGTATAGATATCCTAAAATACTACATGCAATGAAATTCAAGAGCATCTGCATGCAATTTTCCATGAACTATGACTCAACCAGAACATCTTTTGCATTATAATGAAATAGATAGTAATCAAGTGTTAACTTGAATTACTTTTATCCAATTTATTTTCTGCCTTCAACTTCTTCCTCGGTTCGTTCAAGAACCACGCCAGTAGCAAGAATCCTCTGTTCTTCATGGTATCAGAGCGAGCGTGAAGGGAAGCTTTGCAAGATGGACAACTCAACAACGTCTCAACTTGAAGAACAATCAGACACAGAGAACCCGAAGAGACAACCATTCCATCTTCTCTGAAGTTTATCGCGGCAAATCTGAAGAACATCGTGCCAACGCAACTTTCAATGGAAAACTACTCGTTGTGGCGCTCTTAGATCATTAAACTCCTTCGCGCAACTGGGTTTGAGAAATTTCTTGATCCGTTCTCTCCCCCTCCCGACAAACAAAGCAGGAAATCTGACAACTCTCTTGCTCCGAATCCTAAATACACACAATGGCTTCTCACTGATCAGAATCTTGCGGCAGCCTTGTGTTCTACCATCTCGCAGTCAGTTCTACCATACATCATTCACCTTGAATCCACATCTAATATTTGGACCGCACTTGAAATACGCTTCCAATCCACCAACCGATCCAAAGTAATACAACTCAAAAATGAACTCCACAATATCTCCATGAAAACCTCCACGATGACCCAATATCTAACGGAAATCAAGTCGCTCGTTGATCAAATAGCGGCTGCCGGATCCGTCGTCGACACCGAAGATATAATTCTTTATGTCTTCTACATCCTACCAAGCGTTCAAAACAGCAATTCGCACAATGCTTACTCCAATAAGCCTGGACAATCTATACCCTTTGCTGCTCGGCGAGGAAGTCAACATCGCTGCTGATGCCGCAAGAAGCATTACACCGGCTGACCCAAATCTTGCACTCTATTCGTAAAGAGGTCGTGGCCGAAAACAGCGAGGACGATCTTCCCACAACAACCCGATCCCTATGCGCTCATCGGCAGACTCCATCACCACATGCCAGATCTGCAACAAGAGAAGACACTACGCAGCAAATTGTTGGCATCGCCTTAATGCACAATATGTCCCAAATTCTAGTGCCAAAGCACTTGTAGGAGCATTACAATATTTGACTTTAACTCATCCTGACATAGCTTTCAGCATAAACCTTCTCTCTCAGCACATGCACGATCCTCATCTGCAATTGCCTACGGTTTACCAATTACAAAAAAGTAATCTCGTTCTTCAATCCTTTTCAGATGCGGATTGGGCGGGCGATCCCATTTCATGAAAATCTATATCCGGCTATTTCTCCTTCTTAGGCAACCCACGTATATCAGACAGTCAAGAAACAACACACAATGGCACGCTCCTCGACCGAATCCAAGTATAGATCACTGGCGGCTCTCATAGCTGACATCATCTGGCCTATGATGCACCGACACTCCGCTTAAAGAGGGTATGCAGTGTCGGACACGGACACGCGTCGGATACGGCATGGACACATGTCCGACACGGCATTTGAGTGTCGCAATTTAAAAAATTAAAATTGCTCGGTACCGCTCAGTACATGCTCGGTACCGCTCAATATATGCTCGGTACCGCTAGGTACATGCTCGGTACTGCTAAGTACATACTCGGTACCGCTCAGTACCGCTAGGTACATGCTCAGTAGTACTAGGTACATGCTCGGTACTGCTAGGTACATACTCGGTACCACTCGGTAGCTTCCAATACAAACAACTTACGAACTTTAAAAACAAGCAGAACTTCAAAATTACTCTTACAAGAAAATTTTATTCCGGGGGCACTGCCCCCTGAAACCCCTACATGGGCAACGCGACCTGACCGGGCAGGTCAAACCCTGCCAGGGGGTAGCGCCCCCTTGGACCCCCGGCAGACCAGTATATTGTTGTATTTATGTTGCTTATTATTGGGATATTTTGATTTCACTTCATATCAATTTAATTTGATGTATTCATATATATGATTGGTTTGTTAGCAAAATGAGCTCTGCTGAAACTGATAAGTCATTATGAATTCATGTTACAAAGTTAGGAAAAATATTTGAAGGAGGATGGAATGTGTTATTTAAATGCAATTATTGTGGTGGCACCTACAAAGGATCTTATTCTAGGGTGGAGTCACATCTACTTCAAATTTTTTTCCATGAAATAAAAATGTGTCCTAAGATTATTATGTCGCAATTGATTGCTTGTCATTTTTACTATAATAACACATTAATTTCTATAAATTATGTTAAAAAATTATTATGTCGTGTCCACGCCGCACCCGTGTCCTATATTTTTAAAAATTGTCGTGTCCCGTGTCCGTGTCGTGTCCGTGTCGTCGTGTCTGTGTCGGTGCATCATAGCATCTGGCTAAAACGAATTCTTGTTGACTTCAGCATCAACTAGGATCAACCCACAAAATTGTTCTGTGACAACAAATCTGCCATCGCTCTTGCCAACAACCTCGTCTTTCATGCACGAACGAAGCACATAGAGATTGATCAACGGTTTGTTCGTGATCAGATCACCAGCCAAAATATATGCCTTCTACCCATAAGCACGGTTGATCAAATAGCTGACATACTCACTAAACCGTTATCAACACCACGGTTTCAGCTACTTAGACTCAAACTAAGTGTCATTCAAGATCCATTAGTTTGACGGGGGATGTTAGAAGACAAAGTATAATATATTTATATCTTTACTTTATCTACATGGCATAATTGTAATATCATATCACCTGTATCTATAGATGTACAGCTAGCAAGTCTATATAGACTACCATTGTATCTGCGGACATAAGCAATATAGAATACTTTTATCCAGTTTATTCTCTGCCTTCATCTTATTCCTCGGTTCGTTTAAGAACCACGCCAGTAGCAAGAATCCTCTGTTCTTCACATATCAACAAAAAGAACACTTCTTGGAAAAATTCTATATTGATGCATTTCAACAAACAATAAGCGTTCAACAAACAATAAGCGAATGCCATTCATCCAATATCTCAGTTCTTGTTTCCATAAACAATATTTTACATCCAATAACCTTAAATTACTTCCCATAGTTACTCGCAATCCACAAACTAAAAAAAAAAATAATTAAAGGGGCGAAAACGATAAGGCTTACCATCATCAGTAGTAGCGGTAACCAGAAACTTCTCCTTTCTCACCTGAGGCCGATGAACAATCGTCCCAGACCTCAGGCGAAGGCCGCCGAATAAATCAGAGACGGCGGCTGGACGGCGACCAGGGGCCAGGAAAGAGTTGTGCGCAAGGGAGCAGTGAGAAGCGAGATATAGGCGTCTCAGCGAGCCACGCAAGCCGCAGGAGGAGGCTGAAGCGGTTACCTTTATGGTTTCGCTCGCCATTATCTTCCCTCTCGTGCTCTTACTCGACGCTGTCCTACGCTTCCACTCTCGACTCGACTCTTGGGCGGATAACGAATGGAAACCACGATTTATTTTTGCTTCGGCAAATTGTAAGGAAATAAGCTAGTGTACGTCGGCCTTTCTAAAAAAAATGGCAATTGACCAGATTTAAGGGAACTTTTCTTTTATATATAAATAAGTAGATAATATTTTAATTATTTATTTTTAAAAAGTATATTTAAATATTTCTTTTAAATAAAATTGCTCAAAATTAATAATAATATTTTATATTTTTAAATATCAAATGTGTTGAATTCAAATTTGTGTATTGAAAATTTTGAGTGAAAAGATAACAGAGAAATAGAAAGAGAAAATATTTAAGAGAAAGAAGATCTGAGATTTATATAAAATGAGGTTGAGTACATAAAACTATATGAACTAAGCTCACATGTTGACTCCATATATATAGAGCTAGATTGGAGCTTGAGCTCTATCAAATTGATTACATATATTGTTATTTAAAGAATGAATAAAAAATATTAGAGTTGTGTGGTTGAATTTGAATATCTACTTGAGGTTAATTTATTTATAGATTTTTTACTTCTTTTAAGCTGAGACTAAGTAGTCGAAGTTGGCTTGGCTTAACTGGACTCCTTGGTTTGAATCGAGCAAAGTTGGCTTGAGCCTATTTTTTGGATATTTGAATGTACTTTTAGTTCCTAACTTTTTTAATATCTTTAAAGGTGTATTGTAAAAATTAGAGAATCTAAAAAGTATTCTTCATCAATTATTCATAAAACTTTCATAAATATTTATTTTAACATTAGAGACTTGTGAATCAAGTTAGTTTTAACTTTTGACATTGTCCTTTTATTGATGTTAACAAATACTTATCCTATAAATAGGAGATCGATGTTTATCATTCAATTGATTTTCCTTCAACTTCTTACTTCTCCTTGAGATATGTAACTCTTCATGCAGGTAAAGAATGGAGGTTCATAAATATAAGATTAACATTTTAAAAGATGATATAATTGCAAGCTTGTTTGGAATGCACAAAAAGAAGGGGCTTCTTTGTGAAGAAGAAGAAGAAAAGGGTGAAGATCAAGAGATGAAGTCGAATGGCAAGATCCAATAACTCACTACTTCATTGAATCCATTAGTTAATCAATATTTTTTCAGCTCTCGAGGTTTGTTAAAAGTTGGAATGTCCACTAAAAGTGTACAACACATCGAAAAGAGGGAGTGAATTGATGACTTTAAAATTATAATTATTTTTATGAAAGTTTCAAACACTAATTTTTTCCTCTTTTGTGAAACAATGAATACTATGCTATTTTCTTTTGTATAAAATATATCAAAGATTTCTTTTTTCAAATATTATATTCCAAAGTGATAAAACAAAATTTCTCTTATCTCTTCTCCTAAAAGAAATATCAATGTTATTTAGCAATCTTGAGACAAAGAAAATTTTTTGCTACTTAACATATATCCAAGATAAAATTAAGATTCTCAAATTTACTATCTAAAAATGATATCACAACTCAACATATGATTGCATATGAAATAGGGAAAATAAATAGAATTCGTAAAAAAAAGTAAAAATATGGAAATCAAATTATTGTGGCTTGGTCAATGTGCCTATGTCTATTCCCCAAGTCTTTTGTTTGGAAATTCCACTAAAACTCTCTTTCTTCTACTCCTAATAAAGCGGATAAGTCTCTCTCCTTCACAGGGTTATGGAGAAACCCTTATATGCTCTTCTTCTTGAAAGGCACACAAATCCTAGCCACTCTTACAAGATCCACAAAGGCCTACTAGAGAACTTCACAACCTTTACAACATGACTCCACAAAGCCCTCCATCAAGAGCTTCAACTACAACATAGAAAAGATCAAAGATATGATGAGAGAAAAAAATAAAGTGAAAACCTAACAAAGTCTTAAGAACTCTATAAAAAAATTCCTCTCAAACTTCTCAAATCTATTATCTTTCAATTCTTTCAAAAGCCTTTTGCAAATCTGCGAAAAAAAATCCATCTAAAACTTCTTAAAACTCTTAGGGTTTCTTGGAGATCATTATATATAAAGTGGCACCCCTGGAAATCGTTAAATAGCTAATTAATAGAATTGACAGCTTGATCATACAAGCCAATCAAAAGATCGTATAGCATGAAATTCTTAAAACTCATACTTATTCAATGATATCATACGACATGGATCATAAAGTATGATTTGCTCAATCTCCACATTTGCATATTGGATGGGTTTGTATGATTGAAAATTGTAACAACATGCTCTTTGTTTATTCGAACTACACAACATGGTTCAAACAAAATGATATTTTTTCGATTCAATTTTTATTTACTTGGATTCTCATATGTAAATTAAATAAATCTTATATATAATAGTACAATGTGATATTAAACATATAATATTATTTATTTAGGAAAGAATGTATAATAGTGCCTTTGAACTTGAATATAATTGAAAGTATTGGCCAACAAGGGTTGTGCAATATGCTTAGTTTTACAAACTTGATTTATATTTTCTTTTAATTAACACAACTTATTTTTTTTTCAAAATTATCAACATGACACACTTATCATATAATACGATCCAAGTTATACAATATGGTTTTGCATAAATCAGGTGTTTTAATTAACTTGTAATGTCATTTTTTGCCTCTATTTCTCTTGTACGTGTATGTCTGGTTGGTTGTTTAGCAAACAATATACCTGGTATAATACAAGAAGCCTCACAATAAAGATAAAAGTACAAGTTTGATGCTTTGGTAATCTTCTTTTCTTTGACGGATTCATTTCTTCAATTTAGGCTGATCATGCTTCTATGATTATTCTCTGATGTGTGTCAAGTATCATCTAGCCTTCATCTTTTAATTTACTTGAAATGCTAGCTTAAATAATTAAAAAGATCTGCACATATAAATTCATTAGCATAATTATCACAATTAATAATATTTATGATCATCAAAACCTAGAAACCTCCCAAGGCTCATGAGGTCTAATATCCACTCTCTCACACAAAAGATAAGGACTACAAAAGAAGGTAAAATTTTAAAATTTAAAAGGATTATATATATATATATATATATATGTATATAATTTGTTTATAACTTATTGTGTTCTCTTTTTAATGAACGAGCCCCTTAGTGAGACATCCGTTGTAACAAACTTTTCAAGACTAAAGTCGAGAAAGAGTAGAAATCAACCAAGTATTCACTTTCTCTGTGATTGAGGTTGTAACAGCCCAAATTCTTAACTATCGAGATATTATCCGCTTTGACCAAAAAGCCTCATAATTTTGTCTTGTTGGTGTAACTTCTCTGTAGGTCACCCATCCCAAAATTATTGATTCCTTATAGGTTGCTAAACCTAAGTTATTGTCCCAAGGCTAACCAAGAGGGGGGGGGGGGGAATTAGTAATTTAAAATTTTATTGGATTTTTAAATAGAAAACCATTTTGAATCTCTTAGCAAGTTAATTTAAGTTTCAAAATAAACTTTTCAACCACAGTAAATAACTTCAGTAAATAAATCCAAAAATTAAAAGACTCAAAGATTTATAGTGGTTTGGTCAAACACGGCCGACATCCACTCCCTCAAGACTCCATTTTCAGGTATTGCACTATTATCAAAGTGACTCTTTTTTTACCCCCACAGCAAGGCGGAGAAGCCTTTACAAAAACTCTCTTCCACCAATCCTCGATGCGGTAGAGAACTATCATCCTTTCACACCCTCCAAGTGTCAGCAAAGTACCGTCGTCTGTTCACACCCTCGAAGTGTTGTCAGAGTACCGTCATCCTTTCACACCCTCCAAATGTTGGCAGAGTACCATCGTCTGTTCACACCCTCCAAGTATCGGTATAGTATCAGATCTTCTTCAAAGATCTTCTCAAGAGCAGCTAAAAAGAAGAAAAGAAGAGTAATCACCAAAAACACAAAGAGATCCTTACTTTTGAGTAACCTTGTGAACCCTTCACACTATACTTGCAAGAAATCTCTCTTAAACACTCTCCCACACTCTCTCTTTTACTTGCTCTTGAAAATTCATGAAGATAAGACTTTTTCACATCAGTTTTAGAAGACTTTTTATATCAAAGACACAAAAATTTTTAATTTTGAGCGTACACGATCATACATTAAGATAGCATTTTTGTACGTACGAATAGTTAAAAAAATATTGCATATGAACCTTATGTGAATTGATACAAAATGTTTTCATATATGATGATCATCTATTATAAACCCAGTTTGTACTGTACGGATAGTTAAAAAAATTTTCACCTTCATTGGGATGAAGAGGGACCCAACAATTTCGTATCCTGGATGGCGTACATACGATGACCATATCGTACGGTATGATCAGTTATGAAAATTTTCAAGCTCGTTGGGATGAAAAGGGACCCGTCCAACTCATACACTAGACAGCGTACGTATGAGGACGACATCGTACGGTATGAATCGTTCAAAAATTTTTCAAGTTCATTTGGACAAAATGGGTCCCATCCAATTCATACCCTGGACGGCGTACGTACAATGACGACATCATACGATACAAACCATTCATAAATTTTTCAAGTTTGTTTAGACAAAAAGGGACCCGTCTAATTTATATACTGGACGGCGTACATACGATTGTGATATCATACAATACGATCTATACTTAGAAAAAATTTTGTACTTTCTATTCATTTGACTGTTCATAGGGGAATATAATTGAACAAATCATCCCGTAGAAGAGACTTCATATAATATGATCAGTTTAAAATTGTAGATTTTAAACTCTCCTCCAATGTGTGTATGCATAGTTACTCAGTTACAAGCATACTCTCCCAGACTCAATAAAATGAAAAATACATACTTCATTTATAATAAATCCTAAACTGATCTGATTTGAAGTCTTCAACAATCCAAAGTATGATTTCTATGAAATGTTAGTACACACAAACAACAAAATAATGCATTCCATTAGGAGAAATTATAATCAAACTAATAATATATGGAATCATAAAAAATATATATATTGTAAGAATATCAACAATCATAACTAAGTTATAACTATCTCAACAATCTCCTCCTTTTTTATGATGGTAAAATAATTATTATTTGAGTGAACTTTTGTAC